CAAACTGGACTTTTCTTCTTTACATAAATGGACGGAGATTTGCACGGTTGCCCTCCGAACGTCCTTCTGATGGGACGGCACATACCTACCTCCACTTCTGCCGGGGGCAGGCGCGTCGTGGGAACGTGGCTGTGCGCTGACGACATGAGCAGTGTCAGACCGGTCACAAATCAGTCATTCTTGTCCACCGCGTGTCAGCTTAGCAACGTGCATTTTTGCCCTTCTTCACACAACATCTTGCCTGTAATGGTTAGGATGAAGCCTGGTATAAATCTGACCAGGGCTAACGTGCCATCTCTAAGAGATAACACGCTAGCTCCGGCTTGAGACGAGTGCCTAGAGGCTTTCGTCTTGACGGGATGGGGCAAGGCGTGCGTCAGACCGCCAGTCGCCACCTAACCCGTGATCTGACCGGTCTGTGACTGGTCACAGACCGGATAAAGGAACGCGCTGTACTGCGTTGCATGCAGCGTGACACGCTTGACCAGACTGCAATAAATGCTGTTAGGTGAGCACAGCTGTGCTCACTTATCCCATATATGTGGCGCAGACTTCCTTAAGGGGTCGGGGTGCCTCGGCCCTCAGGGCCGGGGCAAGCGCAACCCGACCCCCCCCCCCCTCGGGGGAAATCAGGAGGAGGGCGGACACCTCACCCTCGGGCCCGACGTCCCCGAAGGTGCCAGGCCACGTGGGCGATTGCGTCTGCCTCAAGCCTCTGGTCATGATACTCCCGGTCCCATATCACCGACAGTATGAATCGAATTCTTATAACTAGGTATATACTCACAATTTGAAAATTTTGAAAAATTTAAGTGATTTTGTGCATTTGAAACCATGGTGCCCGGGCACCATGGTGCCCCATATGAGTGTCCTATATATATATATATATATATATGTATATATATATATGTATATATATATATATATATATATGTATATATATATATATATGTATATATATATATATATGTATATATGTATATATATGTATGTATGTATGTGTATGTATATGTATATGTATATGTATATATGTATATATGTATATGTATATGTGTGTATATATATATATATGTAGGTATGTATGTATGTATGTACGTACGTACGTACTAGCAAAAATATCCGTGCGTTGCAACGTGTGAAAAAAATTCTAATAATAATATACTTTTTCATGCATAATCATTGAATGACAATGTTTGTATTTTAATGAGCGGCTTGTCTTTTTTTATAAACGGCGTTTTTTTTCTCGCGTGATTTTCTGAAGCCATTTTCTACAAATAGCGCATTTCTTTCTAACAGTTTGTTCCTAACATGTTTTTTTCCCTTTTTTTACCGGTGACGAAAACCATATTTTCTCCCCTTTTTTGTTTTGCTTTTCTCGCATGTTTTTTGCCTATTTTTTCTGATAATTACTTTCTCGCGTGGTTTTTTTGCATGTTTTTTCTGAATGTTATTTTTTTCTTTTTTCCAATACATGAGAATATATGACGAAATAAAAGCCGTGTAGTAGATGGTAAAAAATCGATGGATCCTATCCGACTCAAACGTCCATCAATTTAGCTTTTTCCTGATAGTTTTTTCAGAGCGATTTTTTTATATAGATAGTGTTTTTTTCTTGCGTGGTTTTTTCAAACCATTTTTTTAGAAATGTCATATTTTTTCTGACAGTCTTTTCCTCGCATGTTTTTTTAAAATGTTTCTGCCGGCAATGGAAATAATGTTTCTCACGCGTTTTTTTATTTTTTTTAAGAAGATGGAAAAACCTTTTGAGCGTGTTTTTTGCGCTTTTTTCTGACTTTTTTCTCACACGTTTTTTTTTGACCGTTTTTATTTTCTCGTGTATTTTTTATTTTTAAATAGTTAGATTAGATTAGAGTAGAGAAGAGATTTATACTGATTAGAAATTGGACTTTGTTTCGCTCTTTCCATTTTTTTTTCTCGCGTGCATTTTTTATTTTATACGAACCAGCTTTTTATTTTTGACGAACCATTTTTTTGCCACTTTCTTAGGGAATCGGACAAACTTTTTTTAGATGTTTTTTCGGATTTTTTTTGCCTTTATAGGAATCAGACTTTTTTTTTCTGTTTTTAAAGAAATCGGATCTAGCGTTTTTTTTTCACCACTTTTTTTTGCCTTTTATAGGAATCGGATTTTTTTCCCATTTGCATGTATAGTTTTTTTCGCCACTTAGGGGAAATAGACTTTTGTTGTTGTTGTTTTTTGTTTATTTTCCTTTTTGTGTGGCTTTTCTTTTTCTTTTTATGCACCTTTCTGCCTTTGTTCTATCCCTTTTATTTATTGTTTTTTTTTAAAAAATACCAAAAGCACCTTATTGCAAGATTATAGGGACTCAAATGTAAATATAAAAATTACAGGGACTCAATGCAAATGTACAAACAAAACATTAAAATCATGTAAAAATGGAATGCTCTCGACATATAGGTTCCGTTTTTGCAAACAGATCTTCAATCCGGCACATCAATTTATTTTTATCAAGATGTATGAAATATCACGGTATAGATTGAAACTTGTGCCTGGTATCTCGGACTCAAACCGAGAGGAGTGGGACTCGAATCTAAAGTCGGACTTTTTTTTTTTGTTTCTGAAAGGGAATCGTAACGAGGAGTCGGACTTTTTTTTTTATCGCTATTTTTTTAGGACCGAGTCGGACTTTTTTTTTATCGCTATTTTGTTTTTTCTTTTCTTTTTTTCGCACGTTTTTGTTTGCTCGGTTTTTTTATCGGACAATTTTGGTTTTTTTTTCGTCCGGTTTTTTTGCCCTTTTTTCTGGATCGGACATTTTTTCCGCACTTTTTCGCTCGGTTTTTTTTATCGGACAAACTTAGTTTTTTTTTCGCCCGGTTTTTTTGACGGACAATGGAAGCACCTCTTATTTTTTAAGTAGTAGAGATATGTATATATATGTGTATATATATGTATGTATGTATATATATAGTAAATCTATTCTACACCTCTTCCCTAGAATAACTATTCTACACCCCCCTCCCATGGGTCAAACCCACCCTCTCTAGGGCCCAAAACCCCCTTCCCACCTCGGTCAAAGCGTCCTCCCGCCGGTCAAACCCGCCCATTGACTCCCTCTCCCGCCCACCACTTTGCTGTTCTCGTCTTGTAGGAATTGTGCAGTAACAGGACGGTCATCGTGCAGTAACAAGAGAACTTTCTCACAGTAACAACGTCAAAAAGTAGCCATGATGGATCTAGTTTCGTTAAGCATTTTTTTATGAACATTATGGTGCAAACGGATTAGAAAAACAAGATATGATGTGAGAGATATTACTTTCTAAAGATTGAGATTTGCCTCTTTTTAGTTCTCGTCTCACTGGAACGGCGTAGTAACGCGACGGCCAATGTGTAGTAACACGACTGCTTTCCGTAGTAACGACGTTAAAAAATAGTTATGATAGTTCTAGTTTCGTTAAGAACTTTTTTTTACGAATGCCATGATGCAAATGGGTTAGAAAAATAAGACATGACATGTACGTTACTGCTCTCTAAAGATTGATATTTAAAATATTTTAGCTCTACAAAAACATTACTACTATAGTGCCACCCGTTACTTTGCATGTTCTCTGTTACTACAAATTTTGTCATGTTGTTACTGCCATGATTGTAGTAACAACCTATAAATTTTGTAGTAACAAAATATAAATTTTGCAGTAACGTATCATGCTACTATCTTTATGTGATAATGTTACTGCCAAATCATAGTAATAAGATATAATTCTTATAGCAACATAACTGATTTATTCTCACACAATTTAAACAGACATACAAAGCATGCAAACAATGTTTTCTATTAACATAACATCATACAGTGAATTGGTTAAAAGAGCTTGCTATGAACCATGATATCATGGGCTCAAGTCTTAGATTCACCAATTTATTTTTTTCTTAAAAAAAGAAAAGAATAGGAGGAAAAATGAGAGATGGGAGGGAGAGAAAAGGGTCAGCACTCGGAAGAGAGAGATCGAGAGGGAGAGGGAATACCCGAGGGGGGGAGAGGGGGATCGAAGGGAGGGAAGAGAGATCGAGAGGGGGGTGGGGGGGATCGGGAGGGAGAGGAGGGCGCGCCCGAGAGGGAGGGAGGGATGGGATGGGCTGGGCTTGGGTGGTGGGAGGGGATGTGGAATAGTTATTCTAAGGGAGGGGTGTATATTAGAGCTGTCATATATATATATATATATATATATATATATATATTGATTATTATTATTATTATATAGTATGATAAAGGGCCTCCATATTTAGTTTTGTAACGGGGTCTGAAATGTCAGGACATGCTCTGTTTATAGACACGTGGCAGTAAACTAAAGTGGTGAAAAATGAACCAATCAGATTGGGAGGAGAAACGCCAGCTTTATAGATAAGCATGCAGCTAGATGCCTACCTAGGACTCAAGTCAATCAACTCCTCTGCGACACTGCTCCTGTGGTAGAAGTCGACGAGGTACTAACCTAAAAGGTAATAATAAATATTAATAACGTTAAGTTTTTTTTTATGGAGGGAGTATGAGTTCTGGAAGAAGTGTGATCTACATATCACACACTGTAGAAGCTACTGAAGATGATCTCGTTCCACGTACCTAGCCGTCATCAGTCATTGGTAACATGCAAATTATCTAATGGCTAGGCCGCTAGGCCGCGATTTATTATATTATCTTTAAAAAATAGACAAATTATCGGTGATTTTACTGAGCCATCCAAATTTCGGCTCTGTTCGATTTTTTTTCTTTTTCAGATGGCTTCAATTAAGTTAAAGTTTGTTCAGATCTTGGATCCCCTCTCTCCGCGACGAGAAAAAAAAAACCTTGATTATAGGTACTATGGATTTTAAGAAGAGTTACAATCCAGCCAAATAAATGTCCTGAGGCAAGAAGTTGCTTGCAAACGTCAAATTGAACACATTACTGGCACTAATCAGTGTAACGAGCTAGTTCATTAAGCACTACGAATCTACGATTCATCAAATAATGCCTTTGTTTCCAGAAATAATTTATTCCCAAATTTCAACCAGGAGGTCAATATGAACATCACAGAGTATAGTATCTCAATCATTTTATTCTCACAACACACATACATCCGGCATCCTGTAGGACTGTTTGAAGTTTGAACAGGTAAAATTAACTGTATCCAAGTACTCTTCACTTCTTCAGTGTTCAGCTCAAACCTGAACTGAATCCTGAAGATTAAACCCCCTAATTAGCCAGTCTTTCGGTTTGCATACATACTGTGTAGTAGAGGCAGGCAGCCAGTTAAGTTTATCACTTCTTGCTGGGTGCAGCTGGTTTGGGCTTCTTGGCTTGCTTGTTCTTGTTCTTGCTCTGGTTAACGATAGGCGAAACAGGCTTCGGCCTATGAGTGACGACAGCGCCCTTGTACCATGCCGCCTTCACCACTCTCTCTGCAGGATCCTAACCATAAAACAACCATATGTTCATAATTAAAGTTAATTATGCAGAATAAAACATCTCTTATCATTGCTTAAACTAGAGATTATTAGAGAGAAAGAGAGAGAGAGAGAGAGAGAGTTTGCACCATATTTCGCCTGTCGAGACCTCGTCGGCTTTAGTTCTCTGTCGATTATATTTACTTGTTCTTCTGTGCTTGTATATATCCACAATGGCCTGTTTCTCCTACTGATATTATCAGGAGGCTTATATATGGGGCTTAATGGCCGAACTGACAACGGAAAATGCGCTGAGATTCTTGATTAGATCTTGGATCGATCAGTGGTTCTGGAGTCCATCCACTCAAAGGGCCATCTGTGGTTTTTAGCTGGCGTTGCCGCTTTTGGGGACTTGTTGGGAGTGTAGAGTGGCTCGGCCCCTTCCCGCTGTTTGGAGTTTGTATTTAGCCGCCGTAGTTTTTTAAGCTCCAACTTCTTTTTTGCTTTTTTCCCCTTCCCTCTGCATAAGCCGGTCTGGCTGATTACGTCGTGTAACTATAACTCTTTTCTTCTAATATATTGACGTGCAATTCTTTTGCGCGTTCCCGAAAAAAAGATCTTGGATCGATCGCCGGCATCTGATGCTGCTGGCTGCTCTGATCAGTTAGAGTGTGGGAATACGCTGATTTGCAGAAATTAGACCACATTGTATATATTCTCCCAACAGTTTTCGCCTGTAAATAGATCGAATTCAATTCTTGTCTTGTAATTAGTCCAAGACAATTGCCTGTACGATCCCCACAAAATCAAAGTTTTGTTCTTGCATGGGTAACTTCAGGGAGACGAAGGAATCAGATTATCGTTGATCACAGCAGGAGTGTGATAGGCATTACAAGAAGGTTCTATTTCCATGGCTTAGTTTGGTTTTGCAGGCATAATTGCAAGCAAAAAACTTGGAGATGAAGCTAAACCTCTCTTGCTTTGCTAGAAAACCATTCATACACGAAAACAAAAGGTGCATTAGAAATTAAGATCTTAGCAATGATTTGTGTCCTTCTGAAATGGCAAGCAATTGGCAGAGAGCTTGTCTCACCACAATGTGTATCTGTGTCTGTACCACAACGTGGTCACACAGGCATACGTAGGATTACACAGTGAGCATTGTCGTTGGTGCATTGCCCTTCACTAAATTGGAATCCGCGGATGTTGGAAGGCATAACACATGTCTATGTATAGTTGATTGATACCTAACTTTGCCAAACCACATGTTTTGATAATTATGATGGGGCTTGGTATGAACAGTGCGGCTAGCAAAACATACATTAGCTAGTACACTTAAGCAAAATTCGCCAACTGTTTAAAGTCATTGACATGTGAGTCCATACATGTAAAAAGATGTGGCGAGTCAAAACCATGGTAATGAATCTTTTTTCAATAGAGAAGTGGACCTCTCCCATTTCCACTATAAGAAACAGAGGTAATACTAAGTATCAATACTGAGGATATACGATGAAAAACATAACATAACTGAAAATCCGTGAAAATTGCATAAGAGTTTTATTCATAAAAACGGTACTAGAAATAGGTGTAGGCATGAAATACATTCACACAAAATCTCAAGTTCAAAACCAACTATATTTAAGATTAATAAAAATGACAAATTGTGGGTAAATAGTAACACATGATACTATTCACCTAAAATGTGTCTTTTTTATTATTTCATATTAAGTAGAGTTTAGACTTGAGATTTGATGTGAATGTATTTCATACCTATACCTATAGTAATTTTCTCATGAATTTAAATAACTTTTAGGTAAGGTTTTCACGAATTTTTACTGGATATTTTCTGGCACATCTAACTTTTGGTGTGGAAACTTGAAACATTCAAGCACACACTTTCTAGTTTCGCCCCTTTCTTTAAAGAGTTGAGACACATGTCTTATGAAGAGTTACGCATACGGTGAATTCTTAGTTCATAGTATTACAGACAAGATTTGTCGTAAAATACTCTCTCCATCCCAAATAATTTCATTTCTAGCAATTAGCATTCAAATTTGTATGAAAAAGGTACCAAAGTCTCTCATTAATAAGAAAATGGTATGATTCTATAGGTATTGAAGGGATAAAACCACTCGATTTGTAGAGCAATGTTAGGTAAGAACATATAGATGAATTCATTTTGGGATAGATATTAGAGACTACAAATAAACTTATTTTGAGATATGGGAGCTAGAGTAGTTGGTAAGCATACCGAAAACAATTTATGGTAAGTTTAATAAGATAATTAGGTGAATTTCTCAATTACACCAGGCCAGATAATAATCTATATATACGAAGTGGAATTATATTTTCTATACAACTACTAGTTTATCTTCAAAATACAATTGTTATTCACCGTACCATATATTGACCATGCTTTTCTTTTTCTCTTAGGAGTGAAAACGGATTGGGTATTTTCTGATCTGATCTGCTTCGAGTCCTTTTGAACAAAGGATATAGTTATAAAATTGGATGGTTCAAGACAAGGATATGGTACCGGTAAAATTAGATGGATGCACATGATCCGATGCTTTTATGAAGATTATCCGACAAAGAGTTTTATGGATAATCCGACTTTAGGTCATATTACTATGCCCTACTATTGTGTCATATACTATCATAGCCCAATTTTTTTAACTAATAGCCTCCCTAGTAAGTTTGGAAGTTTAGCTCATATGTGATGCTAAGTTGTTCATAGTTGCCATTATCATATTATCCCATAAATTCTATATGCTTAATTATAAGTTGTGTCCACTCTGACTCCACACCATTCCCAACGCCGCATCCGCATTGAATCCAAATCCGCCAAAACAATATATATAGTTTAGGATATGGTATAGTAGCTATTCATCTGAATTCGCTCTATTTTCACCCCTATGTTCTCTGATTAACAAGTAGTAGTACCCTATGGCAAAGAACAAAACAAAACAAAACAAAAACTATGGAAAGAGGGATGAATGTAGCAAGTACCTATTAGTAAAGAAAGGTGCTGGTTTTTTACGATGGCTCTCCCACGGGTGGGCTTGTGGGCGGGAAAAGCACTATAGGTGCTGGTTATACCATTTCCGGCACCTATAGTGCCACCCTCTATCTTTCTTTATGTAGGAGTGAGTTAAACCCAGACCATTAGAAAGCGGTCCAAACTATAGATCGAGTTGACGATTGATGAGAGAGTGAATTACGCTTTGGACGACCATCTTTTATTATATAAGTTTCACTTTGGATCACTCTCTATCTAATGTTTTTACTTTGGGTTATATATTTTTACTTTTTTGGACCACCCTAACACACTTTTGTCTAGCCACATCTAACCTATCCTTCGATAAAGATGTGAGTTGCATGTAAATAGAAAATATTGTGAGCATGAGGGTGCATGCCAATGTGCTTTGATGCTGTTGTGTTGGGCTCGCGAAGAAAGTTTAGGGGGGTCAAAAATAGAAAAATGGTAAAAAATATCTAGTCGAAAATGAAAAGATTAGTCAGAGTGGTGCAAAATGAAACTTAGGTAACACTTAAAAGTGAACCAAAGTATAATCATGAATGCCGTTTCGATCGGCATATCGGCCTAGCTAGCATTGATCTATTACGGTTCACACCGAGCGGGCGCGATAGATGAAAAGGATGAACGCCATTTGCCAATAGATGCCTCGACAGGTTGATCAGCCACACATCCATATTGCAGCAGTAGACAGACGGACCACATGGTACATATGCTATTATGCTAATGTGGCAGCTTTAATTTAATTTATGCGCCAAATGACAGCGAGGAAGCGTCGCTCCCATGCATGATTTATTAGTGAACTTGATACCCTAATTGACGTCCAATTCGTGTAAATTACTTAGTGGGTGACTCGATCGCTGACTCCACGTACGGCTGGCTCGATCGATATGCCGCCAGCTACTTGTCCACTGTGTACGTACTGTCGTCACGTGCAAATAAAACGTGATCTGCGCGTAAATATTCGGCTATTGTCACTGTTCCCTAAGTAGATTTTTGTTACAGTTTTGAGTATATTTTTTTCCTTTTTTCATTACATAGAAAATGCACTTGCACCCACACTATTATGCTTGAACATCACATTTACACACGTGTAGTGAGTAGTGACACCTACTAATACATCTACTAATAAATGTTCAAAAATAAGAACACGAATCCACTGAGTTCACGAAGTTCATAATTTCACTAAATTTGAATGACATTAGCTAGGATTTAAATTCTGATGGATGAGGGCAAACATATTCAAGATTCCATTACATCTTTTTGGTACTTCCCAACTTACTTTTTTTTTCCCTTTCATAGATGTTGTAAATTATTCTAATTTTAATTCTCTAGAAATGTCATAATGCTGGAGTAATTTTCATCTTCTAATGTTTATTACTCTTAGTATCTCTTGTAGTTAAGTTATAGTCCACGTTCCACCCTATAGCTCGGGTGACGCGTGTATATGCGCCACTATGTGGATGTGTTCTTGCTGTGTTATCTAGATAGGTAACGAAAATGTACATGTTTCAAGAGCGTACATAGAAACACCCATTTTCTCTTAAAGAAAGGAAAACCCATTTCAAAGGCTAAGCTAGGTTGGGGTTATAATGTTGTGAGGTGACATGGAAATCGTACACATATATATTGACATTATATAGTATGTTCGACAAATACAATTAAGGCCAGAAAAACTTTGTTCTTTCTACACCTTTTCATACTTAAAAAAACAATTTCCACCTTTTTTTTATGCATAGCAACTTACATTTGTCCATCTTTTTGGATGCTACACACAAATTCAAATGAATTATCCGCATCTCCCATCACATTAAGTTTTCAATGATTTTTTTCTACTTGACTTTTTTTTTTCTGACCGCAACTTATGTGCAGAGTCAATTGACCAAACCAAAGTAATTTTAGGTAAGATTTTTATACTTCTAATATTAACGGTTAAAAGCCAAGACTAAAACATGAAAGAAAAAATCACCTATATAATTTAAAATTAATTAATTTTTAATATTCAAATTTGGCTGTGACTTAATAAATTATAAACTTGATGAGATACCAAAATTGGTTGGTACATACAACTCGGTAGAGGGAATGGCTCTGCAACCATATCATTCTATTTTTTAGTAAATATTTTGAACTATTCACAGACTAATTTCATATATAATGTTTCATTAGGTAGTACCACCATAGTACTCCAAATCCAATAAGCTTGGAGATCTCTCAAGAAGGACCCTAGTACCATAGTACTCCACTCCTTGCCCACACATTCCTTTCCCTTGTACCCTCCCATGCATGTAGGACAGTAGGAGTAGCTATATATAAGGCTCGACCACGCACGCCGTGTCTGAGACCAACCATGGAGCATACCAACCTGCCGAGCCATGGCGCCCAAGCCGCCGAAGCAGAAGCACTCGCCGCCGCCGCCGACCTCGAGCAAGGCCTCACCCGCCACCTCATGGAATACCACCAGAGCGAGGCGTCGTCGGACGAGAGCGCCAGGCAGCGGCCCCGCGTCGGCCGCGTCCCGCCGCACGTCCGCAACCTGGACGGCGGCGCCGAGGCGTACACCCCAAAGTTCGTCTCCATCGGCCCCATCCACCACGCCGACGCCACGCTCCGCCGCCACAGCCACGACCTCAAGGTGGCGTACCTCCACGCCCTCATCGCGCGCCGCACCCCGGACCCCATCGACGAGGTCGCCGTCCTCGCCGCGCTGATCGGCTACAAGGCCGGCGTGGCGGCGGTGGAGGACCGGGCGCGCAGGTTCTACAAGGAGCCCGTGGACGAACACCTCACCGCCGAGGCGTTCGTCGACCTGCTGGTGCTCGACGCCGCCTTCCTCCTCGAGCACATGCTCAACCTCGCCACGGGGTACGAGGACCCGCTGCTCCACCGCACCCACTGGGCGCCGTCGCAGCTGCACTCCGACCTCATCCGCTTCGAGAACCAGGTCCCGTTCTTCGTCGTCGCCGAGCTGCTCGCGCTCTCGCCGCTGCACCGCGACCCGGAGCTGGAGGCGTGCCGCTCCGGCCGCCGCGACTTCCTCCGCAGCATCGGCGTGCACTGCCTCCTCCGCAAGGACGACGAGGAGCTCAAGACGCTGCCGCCGAGCGACGACATCCACCACCTGCTCCACCTCTACAGCCTGTCGCTGACGGAGGCGCGGCTGCGGCGGCCGCACGCGCACGCCGGGCTGGGCGCCACGGCGTGGCGCGCGCTCTGGAAGCTCCCCATCGTGACGCTCATGCCGTTCGCCTACCTGCTGTGCTCCGGTGGCGCCGACGACGGCAAGGGGGAGGAGGAGGACGAGGCGGCGGCGGTGAAGCTGCCGAACATCCCGAGCGCGACGGACCTGCAGAGGGTGGGGATCAAGTTCAAGCGGGCGCCGAGGAAGCCCGACGGCGGGTTCCTGGACGTGCGGCTGGAGGACGGCGACACGCTGGTGATCCCCATGGTGAACATCGAGCAGTTCACGGCGCCGCAGCTGCAGAACCTCATCGCGCTGGAGCAGGCCACGCCGGAGCTCCCCGACGACTGCTCCTGCTACGCCTTCTTCATGGACAACCTCGTCGCCAACCCGGCCGACGTCGCGCTGCTCGAGTCCGAGGGCATCCTCAAGAGCAACCTCGGCAGCCACAAGGCGGTACGTACGTACACAAATTATTAAGAGCTAGCCCAGGGTTCTTCACGAACTTGGAAAGAAAAAAAAATTAAACGAAAAAAATTTGAAATTTCAACAGGAATTTGAACTTTTTTTGTAAAGAAAACAAATTCAAGCTTTCTCTTTCTTCCAAAAGGCACATCCTAGGATTTAAGTTGAAAAGGGAGGATATGTTGCCATAGTTTGGTAGTAAGCCCGGTAACCATAGTAAACCGTGTGGTTGCCACGGTGAATAGTGAGATAAATAGATATGATTTATCAAAAATTCAAACTTTTACTTAATTGTTTTTAAAACTTTAAAACAATAGGTCCAGTTGATGGTAAGAAAAACACTGATCCTAATAAGATCCACAAGTAAACACAAAATTTTGGAAATTTAAGAACCAAATTAACCCTAAAAATTCTCAATTCTTATAGAAGTTTTCAAAAACTATTTAGGCCATATGTTTCATATTTTAAAATGTTTTAAGTTTATCCTAAGTCAAAATTCTTTAGGTTTGATCAGTTTTAAAAAATAGCAATATCTATAATATTAAATTAGTTTTGTTAAGTTCATTATTAAATATATCTTTGTAGCATATTTATTTTGTATGAAAATGTTAAATTTTTTATACTTAGTCAAATCTAAAAGAAGGACATATATAAACCTAAAACACCTTGTAATATGGAATAGAGGGAGCGCATGCTATTTGAGAAGCTCTAAGTGTGTATATGGGGGGCATGACACCATGGATTAATCATGCATGGGCTAATAACTATACCATTGGTCTGAAAATAAGTCATCATTTTGGGCTCAAAGTTTGCACCAAAATAACTGATCACTTTAATTTAGAACTTGGGAAGGAAAACAACCCACATAATCCTTGTCGCTATTTTAATGCAGCCAACAACGAATGGAATAGTACCAGTCCACATGGGTGGAGCTAGAACGAAATAAAAGAGGTGTCATCCACATGCTTTACTCTATTTCAATCGAGTTTACTTGATATGGGTACCTGAATTTAGATTGAGGAGTACACATATAGTAAAAATAGATGAGCTATAGCTAAAATCTTTTCTTAAACGGATTCCTGGGCAACTCCCCCCTCCCCCCTCTTCTACGTTGGCCCGCCCCTGCCAGTCCACGTGAGAATAAAGAAAATAAAAACCGGATGATACCTGTTCATGTGAGAATAAAAAATAATATAAACCAAACGAAATCAATCTACCTTGCACTGGTTTCCCTGCATGCACAATTATTGAACCTTTTGGGTATCCATGTTTGAAATAGCTAATTAGCGATCAGTCGCACGCGTATCCTCCCATGCACTCGGTTTCTGGACCCACAAAATATTCTATTCTCCGTATATATACATATATGAAGTTTAGATGTACATGTATAAATGTACACATATATAAAGTTTTATGTGGATGTATAAAAAATATTTTATATGTCCAAAGTGTATACATATACAGACATAAAATTTATACATATATAGGTATATATATGAAGTATGTACATGAAAGACATAGGGGGAGCTGACCGCGTGCCCACACCCGTGCCGCGCGCGGTCAATCGTGTATCAGTGCCCCACGCATCTTTCCATATCATAAAAAGCTCTAATAAATATTACTTATTTAATTTTGAGAAAGAGAGGTATCATTTTGGTTGATTACTGATTTGTCACTTATTTTGAGAAATATCATTTTGCTTAATAAGTATTAATTTGTCACTTATTTAATTTTGAGAAAGAGGGAGAGTAACTCAAACTTATGAAAATGGCTGCTTGCTGTTGCCAGGTGGTGACCTACTTCAACAAGCTGTGCAAGGGGAACAAGCTGGAGGTGGAAGGCAACTACCTGCGGTCCGTGTTCGAGGCGCTGATGGAGCGCAACAGGAACCCCATGTACGCCTGGATCCGCACCCTGAGGAAGAAGTACTTCAGCTCGCCGTGGGGGATCATCGCCATGGTCGTCACCCTCTTTGTCTTCGCCTCCACCGTCCTGCAGACCTACATCTCCATCGTCCAGTACTACTTCGCCAACAATGGCGATTACTAGCTAGCTAGCTGCCGGCCTACGCGTATATACGTACTGCATTTGCATTATTATTGTTATTATTGCCTTCGGATCGGATTGATTACGAGACCATCAGCTTGCATGCATGACGCATCGATCGAGAGCGAGAGCGGGGCCATCGATCAGAGTGGTGTGCTGCTGCTAGCTAATTAAGCTGTTTTTGAGTGCACATGCAAGCATGTATACCTTGTTTGTGATCATCAGTTTGCGCTTGTTTAATTTCTCATGCGTGATGCAGAGATGTGTACTGCTAATATCGGTTTTGTGAGCTGTGGGTTTACTGACGTACGCTGTGCCAGAAATATTGCGTGGCTTTGAATGTCATCTCATCGATTACTAATTTTCCCAAAAGGTTGAAAATAATTCGTCAAAATATACGCGTGTGTTCATATGGTGAATGCTTATTTAATGTGTTTCGATATTTTTTTATTATTTATATACCCATATATGTCATCAGTATCACACAAGCATGATGCAATAAAGCTTAAATCACTATAACATTTCTGAATTTTCTTGATGGATTACCAGTGACAAATAGAGATTTCATCACTGATCAATGTCGATTTTTCTTTTTTAGAAAAGATCATCGTAAAGTTTAGCTTCGACGGATTCTAACAGCGACTAGATGTCTTGGTCATAAAAAAAAAGTTCACGACAACAAACAGGATCGTCACAAAAGTGGTGATTCGTCATCAGAAGTTGGACTATCACACGGTGATGAAGAATTTATAGTAGAACTTGATCGGCAGGGTCCTCATAGGCCCACATTAATCCGGTCCCATTTGTAAATAGAAGATCGTGACAAAGTATTTTTGTCATAAAACTAGCTAACAATAGTTGCGAGAAGGTCCCACATGTAAGTATGTGAAACTTTAAGGAGGAAACAATTTATCCAGTATTTACTATGACTGTGTGTGTTTGTCTAGCATTTGTTATTGTTTAAGCACTAGTGGAGAAATCATCTTTCGTCGGTCGGGCTAATTCCACAATAGTCCCGGTTGCAACAAAAACCGGGACTAAAGATCCCGGCGATCTTTAGCCCCGGTTCATAACACCAACCGGGACTAAAGTCCCACCCCTATATATATGTCTTCTTCCTCCTCCAGCCCGAGCAAGTTTCAAAATTTCTTCAAAAAAGAGGGGAGGTCATTCTAGTGAATTTATTTTGGTGATTATATAGAAATCGGAGGTGCCTAAAAGGTTAGCAACTTCATCCTCCAATGTTTTTTTTTCATATTACATTTGGATCTATGTTTTGCACACTTTTTTGTCTCCAAAATTTTGTTGTTAGTTGATGAGAGAGAAAATTTGTGTGGAGAAGAAAGAATATATAGAAATTTAGTTTATTTGCTAAAGAAGATTTTATAAAATAGTTGAGAAGGAAAATATAGTGAAAGTTAATCTTGAATAATAGAAAACAAAGTAAAATGAAAAATTAAAATAAGTACAACACATTAATATTAGTTTAAAACTTTATAAATAGTAAATATATAATTATTCGGTGTAATATTTCATAATTTTTGTATGAATAATGATATGTCATTATTGTGTGACTGTTGAAAGAGTTTTTAATTATTTTATAATTATTGTACGAATAATTATGTGTGTACGATTTTTTTTCATGTCATGTAGATGGATCGGCAATGGATGTACGCTGACCAGCGGTCCAAAGAGTTTATTGACGGCGTGCATTATTTTTTGAGAGTGGCCGAAGCTAACAGGCAAAAGGGTTTTATTTGTTGTCCATGCAATAATTGTAAGAATCGGAAGGAGTATTCTGCATCCAGGACTATTCATTTCCACTTGTTTGAGTCGGGGTTCATGCCAAGCTATAATTGTTGGACATCCCACGGAGAGCAAGATGTTGAAATGGAAGAAGATGAAGTAGAAGACAACAATATTCCGGACTTTGCTCAGTACGCTGGATTTGAAGGAAATCAAACGGGCGAGGAGGAAAGGGATGCTGATGGTAACAACGTTGCGGATGATCTTGGTCAGATGTTGCAGGACGCCAAGGAGGATTGTGAAAGTGAAAAGGAGGCCCATAAATTGGACAAGATGTTAGAGGACCACAGAACGTCGTTGTACCCAGGTTGCGAGCAGTAGCACAAAAAGTTGGATACCACTCTGGAGTTCTTGCAATGGAAGGCAAAAAATGGTGTTAGTGACAAGGCATTTGGCGATTTATTGAAACTCGTCAAGAACATTCTTCCGGAGGGAAACAAATTGCCCGAGACAACGTACGAGGCTAAGAAGATAGTCTGCCCTCTAGGACTGGAAGTTCAGAAGATTCACGCATGTCCGAATGATTGTATCCTATATCGCGGTGAGGAGTACGAGAACCTAGAAGCATGCCCCGTTTGCAAAGCACTACGATACAAGATTAGACGAGATGATCCAGAAGAAGTTGACGGGCAACTAACGAAGAAGAGAATTCCTGCTAAGGTGATGTGGTATTTCCCTATAATACCATGGCTAAGGCGTTTGTTCAGGAACAAGGGGAATGCTAGAATGATGCGATGGCACGCTGAAGAGCGTCAACAGGATGGGATGCTGAGACACCCCGCTGATGGTTCGTAGTGGCAAAACATCGATAGAAAATTTAAAGACTTTGGAAAGGACGCACGAAACATACGGTTTGGTTTAAGTACGGATGGCATGAATCCTTTTGGAGAGATGAGCAGCGGCCATAGCACTTGGCCCGTTATGATGTGTATCTACAACCTCCCCCCGTGGCTATGTATGAAGAGGAAGTACATAATGATGCCGATTATAATTCAAGGCCCCAAGCAACCTGGTAACGTCAATGTGTACCTAAGACCACTGGTCGAAGATCTTAAACTGTTGTGGAAGAAGGAAGGTGTCCCCGTGTGGGATGAGGACAAACAGGAGGAGTTTAACCTACGAGCGCTGCTGTTCGTAACCATCAACGATTGGCCTGCACTTAGCAACCTATCCGAGCAGTCCAACAAGGGGTACAAGGCTTGCACTCACTGTATGGATGAAACAGAAAGTACGTATCTTAAGCACTGTAGGAAGGTTGTGTACATGGTTCTTCGTCGATTCCTTGCAGCAAACCACCCGATACGGAAGAAAGGCAAGCACTTTGAACATAAGGCAGACCACCGTACGAAGCCTAAATATCGCGGCGGGAAAACAGTGTTTGCTATGGTTATAGATCTTAAAGTAGTGTTTGGAAAGGGGCTTGGCAGCCAGCCTATAGAGAGCGAAGATGGTCATGCGGCGATGTGGAAAAAGAACTCTATATTTTGGGAGTTACCCTATTGGGAATTCTTGGACGTCCGCCACGCAATCGACGTGATGCACCTCACTAAGAATCTTTGCGTAAACCTTCTTGGCTTCCTAGGTGTATATGGAAAGTCGAAAGATACACTGGAAGCACGTAATGATCTGAAGCATATGGAACAACGCGGTGACCTTCACTCGGAACCAAAGGAGAAAGGAAGCCATTACTTGAGTCCAGCCAGCTACACTCTTAGCAAGGCAGAGAAGGAAAGTATGTTTGAATGCTTGGAGAGCATCAAGGTACCGTCTGGATACTCCACGAATATAAAGCGAATAATAAGCACGAAGGAGAAGAAGTTCACAAATCTAAGGTCTCATGACTGTCACGTGCTGATGACACAGCTGCTACCAGTTGTAATAAGGGGTATCCTCCCAGACAATATCCGGGCAACAATAACAAAGCTATGTGCTTTCATGAACGCAATTTCGCAGAAGGTCATCAATCCTGATAGATTAGAAGCCCTACAAAATGATGTGGTGCAATGTCTTGTCAGATTTGAGTTGATATTTCCACCTTCATTTTTCAATATAATGACGCATCTACTTTGTCACCTTGTCAAAGAGATCGGTATTCTCGGTCCTGTGTACCTACACAACATGTTTCCTTTCGAGAGGTACATGGGCGTTCTGAAGAAGTATGTTCGTAACCGTGCTCGTCCAGAGGCAAGCATCGCCAAGGGGTATGGAACAGAGGAGGTCATTGAATTCTGCGTAGAATTTATCGAAGACCTTCGCCCAATCGGGGTACCTGAATCACGCCATGAAGGAAGACTACGGGGAAAGGGGACTCTCGGAAGGAAAGCAATAATGACGGTAGACAACAATTTATTCCGTAAAGCCCATTTCACGGTTCTGCAACAATCTTCATTGGTGACTCCCTACTTCGAGGAGCACTTGGCTCTAGTTCGCGCCAGAAACATCGGTAAGTCCGATGCATGGATTACAAGGCATCACATTGATACTTTCTCCACGTGGCTGCGACAACATCTCATGGGTAACGAGACGATTAACCAACAACTGGCCTTCCTGGCGAGGGGACCATCTGGCTCGATCGCGACATTCCAGGGATATGAAATCAATGGGTACACATTCTACACGAGGGCCCAAGACATGAAGAGCACGAACCAGAACAGTGATGTTCGTATCGATGCCATGGGACACGATGGTACAACTGGCACGTATTACGGTGCCATCGAGGACATATGGGAACTTGACTATGGACCTCTCAAGGTCCCTCTGTTCCGGTGCCAATGGGTTAGGTTGACTGGTGGAGGCGTAACGATTGATGACAGTGGGATGACAACGGTTGACCTTAACAAGGTTAGATACTCGGACGAACCTTTTGTCCTTGCCAATGATGTAACCCAAGTTTTTTACGTCAAGGACATGTCTAGCAAAGGAAAAAAGGCCAAAGGGCTTGACGACCCGAAGCACCACGTGGTTCTCCCAGGAAAAAGAAAAATTGTCGGAGTAGAGGACAAGACTGACGAGGATTACGATCAGTTTGATGGGCAACCCCCTTTCACGGTCACGATTGACCCTAGCATCCTCCTATCAAATGAAGACACCCCTTACTCACGTAGCGATCACAAGGAAGGAACAATAGTGAGGAGAAAGTACGTGTGGTCAACCGTCACCGCCGATGTATTGCCGTAATTGTTCTGTACACGATGTAAACTATGTTGGATGTACTGAATATCCATACAAATCAATTGTTGTATGGCATATGTTAAATATGTACGATTAGTAGAATTTTTATCAAATTGAAATCATCCATATGCTAGTTATACATGATTATTAGATTTTTTATTAATTATGTATGATTATTAGAATTTTAATCAAATTGAAATCATCCATATGCATTATTAGAATTTTTAAAGGTTTTAAATCATGCACGTGGTATTTACATATGTTAATTATAATTTTCAACAATTTAATATCATGATATGCTAGTTATATATGATTATTAGATTTTGTATTAATTTTAAATCATGCATGTGCTATTTACATATGTTAAT